CAATTAGTGTTTTTTGTCATGGCTAGTTTTGTCAGTAAGGCTATGGACTCTCAATACAGCCAACTACTATATAATTGTACAATTAGTGTTTTTTGTCATGGCTAGTTTTGTCAGTAAGGCTATGGACTCTCAATACAGCCAACTACTATATAATTGTACAATTAGTGTTTTTTGTCATGGCTAGTTTTGTCAGTAAGGCTATGGACTCTCAATACAGCCAACTACTATATAATTGTACAATTAGTTTTTTGTCACAGCTAGTTTTGTCAGTAAGGCTATGGACTCTCAATACAGCCAACTACTATATAATTGTACAATTAGTATTTTTTGTCATGGCTAGTTTTGTCAGTAAGGCTATGGACTCTCTAGTGTACCCAAAAGGTGATTATCTCTTAACATTCACGTTCACTTATTGATTTACCAGTTATTGTAAAAGTAAGCCTAACTCATTTGTAGGTCGTAAGTAAGGTATCTTCAGGAAAATATGACCAGTGATGTCTTTCACGTGTTCAGCTGTTCTCACCAAAATTCATAATAACTACAACGGATAGTAACTGCCCTCCTACTTTGGAATACTGGGAAACAACTTAGAATGCTCTCACAACATAATACATATTTTCAACTTCAATGCAGCAATTTTCAACTTTTTCAAAACGTACTGGGTTATAGTAGTCACCAAGCTAATTTAATGTTAATTTTTATGGTTTTAGCTGTCACCACAATACTGATGCCAGAGATTTGTACGTCTTTTATAAACTATAAATACAGATAATAAAAAAATAAATGTAACAGATTAGTTAAGGAGGCTGAAAATAATGTTCTCAAGAAAACAAACGTCATTGTTTTTCAAATTATATCTTTTATCAAACATGTGCATTAAGTGTAGTTAAAGTCTTAGGATCACTTAAAAAATACTTAACTAATGGAAAATAAATGTGAATAATTTTGTTGTCTCCTTTATTTGCTAAGTGCAAAAAGAATTTCTTCTTATAAAATGCATTCCTATAAAACTTTTTACCAGGACTGTATAAATATCATAAATGAGTGTTATTTATCACTGAATTAATGGATGTTATGTGATTAAATAGGGTTAATTCGCTAGCCCTGTTGGAAAAATATACAGTACATATTTTGTTGTAATTTTACTGAAGGGTTTGAACTTCGACTTTTGTCAAAAACAAAACAAATGAAGTGGAGAATGTATACTGTACATTTATTTGTGATTTTTCATCAAACATATACATAGTATAAAGCTTTTGTACGCGTTCATACCAATATCAAAGGACTAAAGAGGAAAAGGTCATGCTTGACTCTGAAATTTCTAAGCAAAGAATGTAATCACTCCCACGTGATTTTTTAGGGTGGAGAGAGAGAGAGAGAATGAACATGAGGCGATCATTTGTTCCAAACAAGTCATTAAATCCGATCCCTGCTTCTGAACCTTACATACATAAACATACGTACACAAAAAATGCTACACATGTACAGAGCAATTGTGAGCAGGTTTTTTCACGAATATACCTAAATAATTTCTGCCCACAATCCCAGTCATCAAATTAACTAATTGTTGTTGCAGACTTCTGGAAATTACTTTCTTCACAAGTATTGTTTAACTGGTCTTTGTAAATCGAAGTCACTGAATAAGATACAAGCAATGCTTTAAATATGAGGCAAAAAAAAACTGTGTGGGTTATTTTATACCAGAGTAAAATCTACTTTAAAATTACAGTGAACAATGATGTCTTTCTGCCATAATAAGTATCACCTTCACTACTTCCGTTTCTAAAAGGTATCATCAGAGACCAAGTCATTATCTTTATGCTGTTATCGAAATAGATAATTCATTGTGCCACTGAACAAACGTCTATCAATAACTGTTCTGCACATGAGATTGCCTACGATATATAGTAATACAACTCTTTTTTTTTTTTAACGAATGTATACATACAAGAACCAGTGCAAAATAAAAATATCTAGCAATAAATACAAGTGGCTTATGCACCTCCACAACCAAATAATGGCTTCAGGATGCAGGTTTGAGCCTTTACGATCTCTACACCTTGGCATTTCCATGTTTAATTGTCTGGAAGGGGCCAGCTTAAGAATTCTGCTACACAGTATTCTGTTTTAAGGTGGTTTTTGGCCCCAGACCACAGAATCATTGCACCAGTCAGGAAGAGATGTGGCTGAAAAAAGTCTCATGGTGAAATTTGAAAACAAAGCTCCTAGAAAGTTTCACTACAAAACTGTTGAACCTACAGAGTTTGTGTCACTACTTGTTTCACAGTTCTGTGAACATTCATATAATACATCAGCAATAATTGATGCAACCCCCTGGTCTAGTATCTGGGACATCACCAAATTTAAGAGCCGCTGCTGATGTTGCACAAAGAGACGCTGGTTTTCTGGCACATGAGAGAGGCAACGTAATGTGAAGGCTGCACGACGCACCTTCTCTAAGGTTGTTCCCATAAGTTCTGGATTTTCACGTAAGGCATTAACGCCCTGGATGTTGGCAACCTGAAGAGCACTCTGTTCTGCTTGTTCTACAAATATCAATAGGTTGGAGATGCAACAGCTTTGTAAAGCAATAGCCTTTGCAATACTGTCATCAGCTTGAGCAAAGCTCGAAAGAATTACCAAAGAAAATTCCCGCAACACCTGGTCCTTGTTACGATTGAGCGACTGGGCTAAAAATGAGAACAGTTTCTCAATTCGACTCCAAGGAGGAGTAGCAAGGAGTAGATCCACGTTATTATCATGAATGGAAAGCTTACAGAGGGCTTCAAGGGACAGACGTTGAGGGGACAGGACGGAGTATACTGGTTGTGTTGGAAAAGGGTCCTGGGCATAAGAGGATGGACAAATTGCCCAGTGAAGCAAACCATTCAGAATTGGAAGGCTGATCTCTTCTGGAAAAGGTGCAAGATCCAACTGACCAGCTATGTTAGCTAGAGTGACAAGTGTGTTTTCTCTAAGTAAATGAAGCATATCCCACCACCACTCTCGTTCACCATTTAAGCTACTGCAAGAATCTGTCGTAGAAAAATTGTCTATCTCATCTTCACGGTCATAATGTTGTTGTGATGGCTTGCGAGTTAGGTGGATATGATGCAGCAGTAAAAGTTTCCCAATAATTAGAAGAAATCCAGCATGCTTGGACATTTCAGAATCATTTCCTGGCACAAATGAAAGGTTTCTAATGAAAGTTGAAAGACATAAACACCGACGAGACAGATTCTCCTGCCCATCTCTCACTAGACAGAGTGATGGTTCATCTCGATCATAGGTTTCTTTTTCTAAGTCACAATCATCAGGATGCCGTTTTCGAGGTAATGAGGAACAACGTATTTTTAAGCCCTGCTCTTCCGTTATGTTGCTCTTATCATCCTTATTCTCCATATCTTCTTTGGCTTTTGCTTTGAAATCTTGTTTCTCTTCTTTTACTATCACTTCCTTTTCCTTATATTCACAGTTGCTGTTGACATCATTTTGATCCAAGTCACAACACTGTTCAGAGTTTTTATTGATGGTAAAAGGTGCTCCCTTTAGCCCACATAATTTGAAGTTATCTTTTAACACAGGTTCCTTTTCACAATGTTCAGTACTCATAGTTTCATGATCTATATTCTGCTGAACACAAACACGTTTACCACTGAAACTTTGTTCGTTTTCTTCTTTCAGAGCAGTGGAATTTTTGTCTTCCATTATTTTCACAAAACTTACATAACTTTCCATACTTTCTAAGTGAGTCTGAATGTGATGAGTAGTGTCCCCACCGCCACACTTCCAATGATCAACACCACTCTCAAAGCCTTCATGGAAGTCCCACTTCTTATCCGAGTCTATAAGAAAGAGAGCATCATCTTGTTTGCTTCCCACTATTTTACCACATCTTGTTTTCTCTGTATAATTTTCACTTTTTAATACAGACAATTTATCTTTTGTGTTGTCATCTTCATTCTCTTTATACAAGCAATCGTTTTCTTCAGAACCAACCTTAAGGTGTTCAAATGTGCAGTTTTTTGTTTCAGTTTCAGAGCTAGTACACACACTACCCTCATACCCCACTTCCAGCTCATTACCCAGGCCAAAAATTAGGGACAAACAGCGACGATAGTGCTCCAACAACACTTCCAAAAGACCATGAAGATGATTAAGTCCAAAGTAGAGCATAGAGTTATCATCACAAATCAACACCGAGAGGACGTCTAATGCCCAGGTACTTTCAACTAAAAGTCCAGACTTTAAAGACATCATGATCCTCCACGGATCCACAGGACTCACATCTTTAGCAGTAAGGCGTCGCCTTTTAGTCAGGACAGGTAGCACTCCTTCCACGGTGTGACATGGAAAAATCATTTCCTTTTTCAGAGTTGGATAAGGATAATGATTGGCCTGGTTCATTCCTGAGTATGGCTGAACAAAAGAAAAACAAAAACAGGTATTACTCATCATTTCAAACAATTCCTAAAACTTAAATTTGAAAAAAAGTAATACATAACATCCTGTTCCAGATACCATAATTTAAACTGTTGACAGCCATTTTGAGAGCTGAGGATTTCCTTCATAAAATTTTTTTTGTTAAGTGCAAAACATGGGTCATCCCTGCTGTGCTTACCACAAGAATCTAAACCCAATTTTTAGCATTATAAACCCTCAGGCTTACTCTTGAGCTACGAGGGTGGGATAGAGAATAAAAATCTATCACATCTTATAACCACTAAGATGAACAGCAAGACATTGATAGCTTAAAATGTATTAACTTGTACACATATCAAAATGGTAAAGAAATTGCACCAGTAGGTGTATACATAAAAAAAATACAAATATAAACACAATTGTATCATTACAATTCATGACATCACGTACTCTAAACTTAACATATGAATCAGAAATAACACTATTTACTGCTTACATAGATGAGGGTAAGAGTGTAGATTTGGAGTATCTGGATTTTCAGAAAGCATTTGACCAAGTGCCACCTACAAGGCTTGTGAAAAAAATTATCTCTATAGGTGTGAAGGATAAGTTAGCAAATTGAATAAAAGAGTGGCTAGATGGAAGAAAGCAGAGGGTGGTTAGAAATGGAATTCAGTCAAACTGGATTAATGTCACATGTGGGGTACCTCAGGGCTCAGTCTTAGGACCTTTGTCCTTTTTGATTTACATCAATGACATAGATGAAGGAATCTATATAAATATAATAGTACTGTCTGTTGTATGTCCATGTAACTACTTCACAGGGTGTGGATGAATCTTCACCAAAATTGGTAAAGAGGTTCATTAGGTTCACACGAGGGTATATACAGAATTTCAGTTTTGCATTTTGTTGTTTTTATGGGTGTTTTTTACAACTACTTTGCCCCGTGAAGATGGACCTTCACCAAATTTAGTATGAAGGTTCATTGGATCCATGGGGAGATGCATACAAATTTTCTGTTTTGCATTTTGCAGTTTTTACAGGCATTTTTAACCACTACCTTTGCCCCTTGTTATTGGATCTTCACCAAATCTGGCATAAAGGTTTGCTGGGTCCATACAGATTTGTAGTTTCACATTTTGTGTTTTGCAGTTTTTATGAGCTTTTTTGTGTTTTTTATAATTACATATAAGGAAAGCAACTTTTCTTCTCTCTCTGTCCAAAGTAGTTTCTGACTGCTCCTGGTTATATTTCAACCTAAATTTCCACCATGATTGGTGGGAATTGTCCTAAGATAACCTTTCATTTATCATAAACTTACATAACTTCCATCCAGGAGATGGGTGCTCCAGCTAGTGGTCAATAATTACCTAAATTTGCAGATGATATTAAGGTCTTGGATGTTGCTAGCTGTGAAAAGGATACTGCTGATTTACAAAAGGATTTAGATCAAATGTCAAATGGGTTTTAACTATAATATATGCATGTGGGTTATCATAATATGAATGGGAATAATCTTAACATTGTTATGAAAGAAAGGGATCTTGGTGTAATAGTTCATTAGTCTCTTAAGCCATCCAAGCAACGTGCGGTTGCTAGTGGTAGGGCAAATAGGATTTTAGGTTGTATCAACAGATATATTGAACACAAGTCTAAAGAGGTTATAATTTCATTGTATATGTCATTGGTTAGGCCACTTTTGGAGTATTGTGTTCAGTCTTGGGCTCCTTACTTTAGAAAAGACATTGTTGCAAAGGTTTCAGAGTAGGGTTATTAAAGTGATGCCTGGGATGGTGGGGTTGCCACATAAGGAGAGGTTGAAATCTCTCAAATTGTTTTCTCTTGAAAAAAGAAGAGTTAGAGGGAATCTGATTGAGGTGTTTAAGATTGTAAAGGGAATTGATAGTGTTGATGCATCATCTTTTTTCAAACTAAACAGTGACAATAGTAGGATTAGGGAACACAAGTATAAATTTAGGCAAGGTAGAAGTCATCTTCAGCTAAGACAGTTTCATTTTTCTAACAGGGTGGTTGGCCTTTGGAATGGGTTGTCCTCGGATGTTGTACAGGCAGTAAATTTAAGTGAGTTTAAGAAAAAGCTTGATAACTACATGAATGATAAGGGCTGGCTTTAAAAATTTATTTATTTAATAGTCTTAATTTAGTTTAGAGGATGGAACAGCCAAGATGGACCAATGGGTCACTTGTTGTCCTAAAATGTTATGTTATTTTAAATGGTTACAGAATGGATGAGCGGATGCATTTTCATAGTCAAAAAACACTTAAATCAACTGATTGTTTATAATTATAGCAATTAGAATACTTTCAAGAAACAGCTTACTGGTATTTTTTTGCTTGGAAAACACATCCTATCTTGTCCATACTGTACTTTGTTTGGCATGTTCATTGATGAGTATCCAGCAGCTGTGGAGTAAGCAGACATCCTCCAAGGAGTGGAACCTGTTTGGGATCCACTCACTCCCTGAGGTCCCTCCCATCCCTCTCGACGAGTGGGTAGATACTGTGCTTGAGAGGAGGAAGGATACTGCTGATAATTACCATCTCTCGGCCAGCCTTGATAAGCAAAATAAAAAGTCTTAACAAAATGAGACTTTACATGAAAAACATTAAATAAACATGTTAGTTCTTCTTGTGTGACAATGAACATGTTTAGTAATTATGTTCTAGATTCTGTGTGCCTGTTTTACTTTTTCACAACATAGTAATATCTGGCTACAATAATCTGAGTTTCACATATGTAATACATAAGCTAGAGTTCTAAAAATTGAAGAAGTTCACAAAACCTTATTAAGAGTAATATTTCTTTCGAGTTTTCTTTAATTTTTTATAAGTCATTACTTTCAACTCAAATATATACGTCATACGATGGCTAGCATGTATTTCTGTTAAATACAATAACAGATTTGAATGTAAGAAAGTTATTTAAAGATGATGTACCAAGCAGTACAACTTTCCAATAAGGGATAAGAATAATGAGGCAACTAAACAAATATAATAAATAAATAAAGCCTAACTGCTTTACCCAAAATAACCATAAGACAAATTTTATCCTAAATAAAAATACTGTACTTTATATCAAAACTAATAGTGAAAATTACAACACAACAGAAACATATGTAACTCATTTGATAAAAAAAGATTCACAAATTACTATTTTCAGACCAGTGTGCCATCTATATCACTTACTGTAAACTATTACTCACTTTGAGAGGTTGTTCCCAAGTTGGATGGTACCATGCTTTGTGGTCTTCTGTAGTACTGGTTGCGGTCTAAGTATAAAAATAAAAGGCTTTGCATTCAATTTTCTACACTTTTCATTAAACTTTGTTTGTTCTTTTAAATAGAACCAAATGTATTTCAATTTTAAATCTTCTCTTCCCTCAGTTTTTTTGTATTTTACTACAGATGTTTGTTTATTTAAAGTTAAGCACAAAACTACACAATGGGCTTTCTGTATTGTGTCCACTGTGGGTGTTAAAAGCCAGTTTTTAGCATTCCAAACCTTGAGACTTACCACTGTGCCATTGGGGGATGTTATTAAAGAAGAAAATTTAAAAAAAAACCAACATGTCAAAATGTGGATATTATTATTTTTCTTAAAATGATGAATACTAAATTTCAGTACTTGTACAAATGAAAATTAGAATGTTTATTCTGGTTTCGAGACAACTTTTTCCCTCACCTCCATAGTGTCCCTGTGTTTGGTCGTAGCTTCCCACTTGGTACTGGTCTGACTGGTTTGTTGGGGGTCTCATGTATTCATTTGTTTGTTTTCCATACATATCTTGCTGATGACCCATCTTGTTGGGTGATGAACCACCTTGTATGTACATGCTCTGTTGGTTTTGTTGGTAGTTCTATGAAGCCAAAAAAAATAAGGGTTCATTAAGGTATTTTTTCAACAATATACTACATCTGTATACTTCTTATTATACTGATATTTGTTCTGTGTGCTACCAGTATAGAATAACAATGCTCAACAGAAACAAATACTCACAGGGCACCTGTCAGAAAGGAGAATTTCTATAAGTAATAAAGTTCAGTAAAATTTACTTTCTTTTGTACACTTCTATACTAACTAGTAACTGAAATCAACACTAACATTTGTCAGCATAAAGACAATGAAATGAAATTTTATGTCCATATAATTGAAAGTCCATTGGACTGATCCTAGTAATGGAGAAGAAATAATGACCATAATTTCGAACTTACCACGCGTATCCTACGTGAAATATGTGTGTGTGTGGAAAGCTTTTAGTAAATTGTACAGGTCTGTTATACACACAAAATTCAGTAGAGTTACAGATGTATTTATGGTCAAGATATGTCTCTGAATTGTGATGATATCAGTCTGACTCAAACTCTGACAAGTGGGAGTGCAAGATGACGTTCATGTGAAGAACAAAAATACCTTTGTTGATCATATAGTTTGTATGTTGTATTTGCATAACCTTTAGAAATGCATGTCTATAGTTTTTTCAGTATCTCTGTATAATTCATCTGGTATTTAGTGTAGGGCAAAATGAATAGTTCATATAAAGTACATAATACAATATTGAAAGGCTCTCTGTAAAAGGTCATGGTTTGCACATTTTAACTCTTTCGAGACGGATCATAGGTGAAAGGCCATGTCATCTCGTTTGTTGACTTGCATTCAAAATTTTATTGAACTACTATTTCATGAATTTATGTTAATAAGTTTGGTATCAAACTGTAGATTATAATTCAAATTCTAGAACTGTACATTACTCAATTTCTTAATTTAAAATATTAAAAAAAACACAGATATATATCGATTTTTGTGTGTCACGTGGTATATTGAATGCAGCACTGGTTCAAATTAGATGTTTGTGAAGTCAAAATACTAAGTCTATAGTTTCGTACAAATTAGAAACTCAAATTACCAATATTGACAAGCTGGAATATAAAATAATAATGTTTACCTCTTCTATTTGCTAAGATATCGCTCATGTAATAAATCAAACACAGTGGCACCCTTTTTCCTCTTTCCATTTTTGGAAATGCTCCCTTATATACACTTACTTCTATATATGACATGAGTAACCAATTGGAAGCTCAGAATGTCCCCTAGTGGTTTTCTCAGCCTTTCTAACATGGCTAGTGCCATTTTTTTCTTTTAAACCAAGATTTCAAAGAAGTAGGTTGTGTCTTTAGTCTGCTCAAAATTTCATATTTGTTTAAGAGTAAAATACTTCTTAGTTACTAAGCTTGATAAATTATAGTTGAATTCTATGGTATTGATGTAGTAATTTATG